GTTTTATTTATTATGCATAATTTCAGAAAATTTAAATATTATTCAGAAGTTTGATCAAGACTTTTAATTAAGAAAATTACTTACTTATGCTCCAACTGATTTAATATTCTGCAACAGGCAATTTACTTATTACAATTCAACTGCTTTTTACCGTAAATTAAGAAATAACGAAAATTAACAAATTTATTATTGTCGTTATTATTGATTATTTTTAATTCATCTGCTTTATTCATTCTGCTTACATTATTATACATTATATAAGATATTAGACGACTACTATATAAAAAAAGTATATTACTTTGCTATTTTACGCCTCATTGTATATAAATTATATAAATTTTAACTTATTTGTAACTTTATAATAAAATATTTCTCTTTCTGTGTGTGTATGTGTGTGTTTGCGCGTGTGTTTAGAAGGAGAGAAATATTTTTTTATCTATACTGTGTAGCTACAGGACGCCTAGAGAGCTCATTTTAACTTTGTAACTGATAAGAATTTAGAATAAATCGGATAAAATGTAACATTAAACTTTTTGAAAGTTTTGAGCATCGATAATAATTTTCGCTTAATTTATTCATCAGATACACAAAAAATAAATACATATTCTTAAAAAGAAAACACTTGTTATTTAATGGTATGTTTTAATAATTACATAATAATAATATACATAAAAATATGATTTTGATAATCTTATGCTAATGTTTTTTCAATGGTAAAGAAACATTTTTTATGCTTATGTAATACATAGTTTTATAGTCATTTTATATTTACATTTAATTTAAATGTTCCATTTACTTTATTCTTTACAAAAAAAAAAAATAAAAAAAAATAAACATAAATAAGGAAAATAAAACTTAAATTTAATTATTTTTACCTAGAGGGTCTTAATTACTGTACTATACATTTATTTATTAATTTAAAAAAAAAAAAAAAATCATAAGAGCGATTTTGAAAGCGCAACACTTGTCTATTAATTAATCAAAAACTATACAAATAAAAATAATTGATATTCTCTTTACAATCCAAGAGTATAAAGATATTAAAGCTATTAACTAAACACTTTAATATTTTGAAATTAACGCAAATGATCTGAATACGTTAACGATTTAACAAGAAATAACAACGAGTGAAATGTGCAGTTGTACACGTCGATCATAAGCACTTAAATAGCAGATTTCTCGAAGGGTAATTTATCGCGACATGTACATGCAGGCATAAACGAAAGGCATAATTTTATCCCAAAAAAAAAAAAAAAATAAAAACAAAGTAGCATTTTACGCTAACGTAGGCACAAAGCAAAAAGAGCTACCGCAACAGCAGCAACAACGACGACGACGACAACGATAAGAACAATAACAAAAAACAACAAACAACAATAACAACAAACAACAATAACAACAAACAACAATAACAACAAACAACAATAGCAAGGAAAAGAACCATTGCAGCAGCACCAGCAGCACCAGCGAGTAGCAGCATGAAAGCGTGCCAATACACTACAATGACGTAGCAGCTGTTCTTGTCTACAGAGTAATTGTTATTAGTGGTGCAATTACCTTATGCAGTCGATCGTATCGCCCGCGTCGAGTGTTGATGCTAATTAAGTAACGCGCTCGCAATAATTATCTTATTTACTTAATCATTTCCAATGTACATTGTGTTATTCTACATATGCTTATCTATCTATATATATATATATGTAGCTCGTGGGTCTGTGTGCGTATGTTTACATGAATTAATATGTTCGTTAGATTTTTATGGCATATACTCTGTCGAATGGATAGCGTTCAATTTTATTGTAATTTCATTGGTACGCCAACAATTAAAGCGTTAGCTCTCAATTGTTTAACACATGGCTAATAAGCCAACAATTAGAGAAAAAGTTTTCCTTTGAAAATATTGTGCGCCTACTGCTGGAGAAATTTCAACTGGATGCGTTTCTTTTTATTAAATTTGGTTTCGCACTTTAACATAAATTTTACAATTGCACAGCACAACATAAATTTACCTTAATTATAGTATTTATTTTTTGAAGCGTGCAATTGTTTTATTTTGTTATTATATTGCTGAATTGCCTACGGCAATTTTTCAAATAACGCAAATAACGCAAAGATTTTTCTTACAATGCACTTTAAAAATAGAAAATATACGATTATTATCGAAAGCACAATTACAGTATTAAGAATGAAAATAGCACACTCATGCGAATTTAAATAATCATTAGTAATATTTGTATAAATAGTACAAGTGTAAGCGGGATAATTGTCAATATATATGTGAAATAGCTCGATTCGATGGCTGCTGCATGATTTCAATGCCTAATAAATAAATAAATAAATCAATCGATCGATCGATCGATCAATCAATCAAACAATCAACCAATCAATCAATAAAAAAAAAAGGCCATCTTATATGAAGCATATTGATGCTTGGATTGAAATAATTTAAAGAAGAATGTCAGGCGATAAGGGGCAATTAGCAATGACTAAGACTACCGTCAGCAGTCCAAATACGCACTTTCCAACGAAAAGTAAAAGTTTTTGCGGTATTTAAAGCCTTAATAAAATACACATGCATAGGTCGCGGTAGGGTTTCGTAACTCTAAATAGAAGTCTCGCATTATCCTCGTAGTGCGCGCGTGCCCCCCCCCC